ATCCTCTTGAGATAACAGAGGCCAGAGAAGACATTTCTTATTTTCATTTGTTCTGTTTTTGTCTTGGTTGTTAAAAATACAGTGGGAAAAAAAGGAGAATTCAAAAAAGGAAGGATAATACCACTTGATCACACTAATCATGATGACCTGGTCTTGTGGCTTATTCTCATCATGCATTTGCAACAAGTCATTCCTTTCCCCATCACTCTCCAACGAGCTAAGGCAGTGGCTGTCAGTCTGTCCCTGCTCCTCCTCCAGTCCTGCCCCTACTCCCTGCAGGTAGCAGATGTCCTATTTGGCATGTCTGTGCTGATAAACAGCAGAGCATGAGGGGGTGAGCACTGGTTTTGGACCCCTGGTTATTTACATTGCCTAAATTTAATTCTGTGTTTTGAGTCATGGACCATTTCAGTTCTCTGTCTGCAAGCCAACCTGCTGCTGAGCCATCAGCACACTCGTGTGACCTCGGAGCCGTGGCCCACAAGCAGAGTCTGCAGACAGGAGAAGACCGTTGTAAATCAGGATAACCCCCGGCATCCAGGAGGAATGACAAGGAGGACGCCATTGATATCAGAAGGCTAATTAATCACTTTATTATACTATATTATTCTATACTTTATTACACTGAATCTGCACAAGCACCCAACTCAAATGTACTGCACAGAATCTTGTGACTGTCAGCCGACAGCCCTGACACACACACAGATTGAATTGGTCAATGAATCAAAACACTCACACCAGAATCCAATCAAGCAAATTCCTTCAGGTAAATAATCTTCAATGCATTCCACTTGTTCCAAAACACAGGAGCAGTAAATGAGATAAGAATTTTTTTTTTATTTTCTCTGAGATTCAGAGAATGTGAATCCCAGCAATATCCTTGGGAAGTTGTGCCCTGCTTTTCTCTGTGAAGCGAAATGCAGCTACAGACAAAAAAGGCATGGCCAGACATTGATCTACTGCCTTCCTGACCAGCCCTTAGGATGTGGTGAAGCCACATTGCAGGAGCAGGGTTTGTCCCTGTCACTGACACTGCTACTGAATCTACTGCTGAGAACCTCTAGGGATGGATGGAACTGTGCCTGCCAGAGGATGCTGCCAACGAAATCAGTAAAGATATACTGTTCAATCATTTTTAGGCAAATAAATCTTGGGTTAAAATTAAAAGCACAGAAAAATCACTTGGACTCCTTGCTATAGACCTTCACTCCTTGCTACATAAACTGGAGAAAATGCTGTATGCATGACTTGGAGGAATTCCATGTGGAGAAAGAAGGCTACAGTCTGGAGGGTAAGTTCACTCCACCCTGATGGGGCCAGTTGGCACTGCCCATAGGCAGAAGTGCCTTTGTTTGCAGGAACCTGAACTATTAAACACTCTCGATGAAATGGCTCCTTCCAGCTGTGCTGCTGCAGTGCTTAAAAACGGAGAGCAGAGACAGCGCTGCCACCTGCTGCTCCTGGGGACGCGGCTCTCCTGCTCACCAGGGGCATCAAAGCCTTCCTGTAGAATCCCAAAATATTCTGAGCTGGAAGGGACCTACAAATATAATTGAGTCCAATTCTTAAAGCTTGGATGTGAAAAGTCGGTATTTAATGTAAAAGTAAATGTTAAAAAAAATTAAATTTTATAGTCAAAATTGTTTACCATAAAATGAAATACCAACTTTGATCTTTGAAAAGCATCAGGTAATAACATAAGCTACCACTATAGCCCTGTCACAGTCCTAAAAAGAAAGCAAGCTGCCTTGCCACCCTGCTTTGCAGTTTAGTCACTCCTTGATACTGTTGTCTTTGGCTAGTTCAGTACAGAGAGTTTGGTTAGGAATTTCCTGAAACTGCAGGCAATTAACCTCTCACCAGACTAAGGCTTTATATTAACAATGCTGTCCTTAAAGAAAGGCACAATGGGCAACAGACAAGAGTGATAGAGGTAAGAACAATATGCAAGAAAAATATGGCAAAATCCTATTGAAATGCATGACCTAAAAGTGTTAATGTGTGTATTTACTCCTCTTCTGCCTCACCTGTCCTATACAGCTGAAATTATTAGCCTGAGTCTTACTCACCTTGTCTTTTATAAACACTATCAGAACTGCACTTAAAGCAACACTATTTTAAGGTCATATTAGAAACCATCACAACATTTGTCATGCTAAAATGGTAAAAAATAGTAGCTACTAAAATTGCTATAAAGTTTTGTGGAAATGGGGCACTGATGTTTGTGGCTGGCAAGAGCTGTGGTTTCTGCAAATAAATTTAGACACAATAGACCCAAATAATGAAGGATATCTAAGGGTTACTATAAAGTTGGTGCTAATGAAACTATACTGCAATTTTAACTGCCAGGCCTGTGACCCTTTTGATGACACTTTAATAAAGATTAGATTAGCATCTGTAATTTAACTACTGAGTTGCAAAAGCTGCCAGAAACTGACAAAGGGTGATGATTTTTTCTTACAACAATGCCTATGTAAATTTTAAAGTAACTGTACTATTTCAGAAATTGAATTTCAGATCTTCCCCCAGAAAACATTTAGATGAAATACAGAAGTGCATCTGGAAAGACAGTGCATGCTGTGCAGCCAGTCACGCATCCTGGCAAAAGCTGCAGGGAGCTGCAGCCACCAACTTGAGAGAGGCCAACATTTCAACTTCTATGTTTACATTTGCAATGTTGATTTCACTGGGAGAGAGTTGCTTCCCGGCTTTTGGAACACCACTTTTTTTTTTTTTTTTTTTTTTTTTTTTTTTTTTGTGCTAGATTCTAAAGAAAACTGCTTTTCATATTAAAAACAGTGCTTGGAACACGGTGTGGCATTAACACCTGCTCATGCTTTGTCTTGCAATGCTTTGAATCAGGATCATCCTTGCTTATCAAGTCAAGCTGTCAGCTGCTTCACTGCCGAGGTGCATGAGCACCACTCTGTAAGCCCATTCTTCTTCCCTATTGGAGTCCTTGCTCATGAATCATTCAAATCCCTCAGCCTGAACCCTGCTTTGCTGCTGCCTTCAGTAATTTTTATTTGTGCCTGGAAACTCTTTGGGATGTCAGAAAAGAACCGACTGAAACAAATGCATTCCAATGTATCTCTTTCCTCCTGCAGCTTAAATTCAGGCGGGTTAGCTTCTAGCCCTTGCAGCTTGAACAAGAATGGAGCAAAGGAATGTTTCCCCAGCCAGGCATGATTCTCAAGGGTGAGAAAAGGACTAATACAGCCTTACCTCTTGGGCAGCCAGGTGCCTGGCATTTCCCAGCTGAGGTGTATTTAACTGGGTCCTCATTTGGATGCATCAGGCTAGGAGGCTTCTGAGTGAAAGCACTGTGAATATACTCAGAGTCCTTTCTAAGGAAAACCACTATGAATCTTAACACAAACATTGGACCTGATATTCCCAGACTAGTTAGAATGCATGCACAACACACGAAATACTGCTACTACTTCAAATAATCAAGAAATCATTGAATATAACTAGGGGTTATTTTTTTATATATATATATATATATATAGCTACTACGAAGTTCAACCTAAGTAAAGATGGAAAGTAGAAATTAAGAAAAAAAAAGGGGGGGGTAAATTTGTACATATTTTCTTAGTCACACTGTGTTAGTAAACAAAACATGTTCAGGCTTCGTGCGTGTTTTACAGTATATTTGTTTCTCACTCTGACACAGCAACTTGAAATCCACAAGCGTAACTACAGTCTTCCTAGCTCAGGTGATAGATGTTTGTGCTTCAGGGGTAGGGATTAATGCATTAAATTAGTTATGCTTTCCTGGGCAGCAATTTGCCAGAAGAAGCGTGGATGGATTTGTGATTTGCATAACAAGGTTTGAAAGCTGAGGAAAACAGAACAGAATATTTCAGTTGGATGGGACCTACAATGATCACCTAGTCCAAGACTAAGGCAAACAGCTTCAATTAATGTAAGTTGTGTGACTAAGACCACTAATAAGCTTTGTGTCTTCAACCAAAAACCTTTAGAATGTCATAAAAATGCTTTCTTATACAACCTTGTATTTTCTGCTCTGAGTAAGATGAATTCTATATAGAAGAGGAATTGCTTAAATTCTACAAGAAAACTCAAAATAAGGTATGGTGAATGGAACAAACCAGGTATTAGCTTAATCTGGTGTGGTCTGTAAGGTTTAAATGCCCAATAAGCTTACTGACAATACCTAACTGAGATTAGTAAACAAAATTTTATTCTTCACAGAGGAAGAGCAATATCAGAAAAACCATTTTTGCTCAATGTATGGGGGAAAAGAAAAAGTTAGTGTAGAAGAATAAATTACATGGGAGAAGCAGGGAGAAACTACTTGGGCAGATGTTACAGTCAGTTTTACAGCATATCAGTCACTGTAGCATGTATAGATGAGGTTACCTTGATGTTTCCCAACCTGTGTATCAAATACATACTGCTGGAATGTGCCCAGCTCACTTCTGAAGAACTCCTGTGGGTAGTATGATTACTCATATTAAATACAGTTTAAAATATTTTTCCTCCCTATAGCTACCAGAAGACCCTCTCCATTCCATGAATCTGCTCCTCCACTCCATCCTACTCTTGAGCCCTGTTCTGGATGCAGGACACGTAGCTAACTTGGCACTGTCGAGATGTGCCCTCTTGTACCTGCAAAGATGCCAACTCTTAGGGCTAGGTAAGCACCTCCTTTGCCCTCACAAACATTTTCTTTCTACTACAAAGCGAAAAAGCCCCAAGCAGGTGTGTTGAGCACTCACTGGGGGTGATGGAAAAAAGCAACATCACAGTAAAAGGATGAAGATAGAGGTTTCTTGGAAAAAGTAATGAGAACCTCCCCTATGAGTATGAGCCTTCCTGTGCACAGCTGGTAATGGTCCAAACATCATCTTTGTTCACTAGAAATCAAAGGGAGCCACATCAGCCTTGACCTGGGGACAGAGGCTGAGAGGTTAAGAAGAGACATCACTTGGGCAGGTTACTGATGAGTATTTTCAAGTCACTCCACTATCAAACAGGTTTGAATAACCACATTTATTGTCAGTATTATATATATCAGTATTATACACAGTATTAAATACATGGTTATTGTACTCCCCATAAGCACAGAAAAGATGTGTCTGAGGGCTTATAAAATACAGAAATAATTGTTCCATACTTCTTTTGCTTTTCCTTAGCTATATATTTAGTTTCTTCCCTTCTCTTCTTCCCTCTTAACAATCCTAATACTTGGTAGTTTTAATTTTTCTCCTCTTTCAGACTGTCAGTCACAACCAGCATCTTGACTTAAAAAGAGATATTTTCTTATTTCAGAAGCCTTTTACTGTCACTATGACTGGAGGCTTTATGCTTATCTTCTGCTTCTCAGATAAGCTTCCCCTTCACTAAGATCCATCCTATAATCTCAACCTATTTATATTTGATTTAACCTCCTTGAGATGAATAGATTTTTTTTTCTGCTTGTTTTATTTGAAGGGATTTTATTTAGGGGACTCAGTTCTGATACAATCTAGACTCTTGGCGTTCTGTTAAAAAATACAAGCATTAATGAAGAAAGCTTTCCATTTTCTAAGAAAGGCATTTTGGCAAGAACTATACAAACACAACACTCATGAAAAATTAAAAGGTGAAAACAAATAAACAATTTGCTTTGCATGGGCACAGCACTTTCCAGGCTAGCAAAACTTTGAGGCATATACTTCTGCTGTTGTCATATTACTGACACAGAAAAGATAATTCCTCTGCTTAGTTCATAAGCAATTAACAAATAATCTTTTTTTTAACAGCTTGCAGTACACAAAAAGAAAAGAGCCTCTTAAAAATCTAATTCCTATATTCTCAAGGGCTTGAAGACTCTGTAGGCTGCTGGAATTAACTAGCTGTGATTTTCTGTAAATCCAGATGTTTACTTCATTAAAATTTCATGAAATCTAAACACACTCTTCATTCCATGTATCTCTTTCATGTCTCTCAAACATTTATTCTGTTGGTATATTTACTTTTAGTGATAATATATTATTTGCATTTACAAACACGGATCATACATAGATGATATCTTACAGGAAATCCCTACAAAGCAGAGTAGTAATCCCTCTGTGTAAACACTTGCAACAGGAAAGCACATTCAGAATTGTATAGACACATGAATTGAATTCTGTTTGGCCTCTCCAAGAGGCCAAGAGCAAAATACATGCAGTGAACTTTTCTAAGAGGGAAGACAGGCTTGTCAAATTCACCTTCAAGTAGATAGAAGCAACCCTTAGTCTTTCTTTACAGGTGAGAAACAGATGCTTTTCATTACTTTGGGCAATAACATCTCATTAGCACAGCACAACAGCAAGCTGGGTAACATCAGCTATGCCTGATTAAGTTGATTCCAAGTTTCTTCAAGCTTGGCTCAGTCCAAAGAAAAAATCAGGTTGGTTTATGCAGTGGATAACAGGTAGGAGAAGTCCTGGAAACTCTGCTAAGGATAAGGGCTGAAGGAAATGTTCTGGCAAAGTCAATTTTGGCCCTAACAGAAGGCTGTCTGCTATCTCACCTTCTAGGCAGAGATTTTTGGCAGTTTTGGAGTGAATAATTTCCCCTGCCAAGTAACTGAAATATGTTCTCTGTGACATGTTATTTTACATAGCAGGTCAGGAAGGGTATCAGTGAATAGGAGCTCCAGCATCCCTTTCTGGCACGGGCTGAACAGCTGACATACACTGCCTGCAGGAGCTAAGAGTGTGTAATTACAGCCTTCACTCACAGATGTCCTCACTGGCATGAACTCCAGTTGTAGCCATTGCTGACATGTACTTTGGCAAGGTCTTGACAGAATGGATATTTTCCAGGATGTCTGGAGCAGCTAAGAGCTTGTGGAGCTACACTCACCATGTAGGAGGCTCTGAGGCCAAAGGAGGAGAAACAAGTGCGAGTATGCTAACATTGAAGGTTCTCTCTTCCTCTTTATGTGTACAGAAATAGTTTTTAATCTTCACTTCTGTGGAAGTGAATAGCAATTCTCTAATGAGATTTTATTAATTTCATTTCAGCTGTTGTTGAGAGATGATGAAATTGGGTGGAGAGACACTTACTGAAGTACAGTGGAGAGCTGGAACCACCTCTACTCAGAGCATCCTTCAGGACTGATACCCTGGGGGGACAGCAGCAAGCAGGGGACTGTGAAACACTGCACAAGCCTGGCAGCAGGGTTTGACAGCACTGAGGTCAGTTCTGCCAGCAGGGATACAAACTTGGCTCTCAGCAGAGAAGCAAACTAAACTAGTGCAAACATGTTTTTCTCAGGTAGTCAAGCAAGGTACCTAAAGTAGTAAAAAAATAATTTACCAACTTATCTATAGTGGAATGCTGTGAGCTTTCACTCCCTTCTTACCTTTGCAGATGCTGTAAGCACCCCTGCTAAGGATTTTGATAATTCTTCTATTAAACATAAAGGGAATTTTAAATTGTTTTCAACAGAAAAAGATGCAAAGAGAACAAAGCAGCACATTCAATGTCTGAGTCTGCTGAAAAGAGTGTCTGCATTTCATTTGCTTATTTTAATCTAACTTAAAGAGTTAATGTTTTTTAAGCACAGCTTGTATTGGTACATAGTGGAAAAAAGCAAAAACAAATGCATTAATCACTGTTCACTGACCACAGTTATGATTGTGAAACATGCTTAATTAGGGAACAGTATACCTCAAAATCACAGCTAAAATTAATACAAAAATTTGAAGCACAATCACCAATGTCATTATTATTAACTATTCTACCTTTGAGGGATCACTCTGTCAAAAAGAATAGAATAATTTTACCAATACATTTTAAAATCCTTTTTTAAAACACATGTTTGTAAGAAAAAGGTGTAAGTAAGAGCTGTATATTTAAGAAATTCCATTAAAAGGCATTTTTTCTTGGATAGAATTCCTACCCAGGAATGATACCATCCTTGTGATTAACTTAGGGATTAGACTTAGGGACAGCCCTTTACTTGCTCCTCAGCAAATCAATGCTCTTATCTTTAGATTGTATCCAAAAGCACCATAAATGTGTTTTTACCCCTTTAAAAACCTATCTGAAGCCTGTCCAACCCTACAGGAAGGTAGGCTGGTAAGAAGGGGGAGTAGAGGTTGCTTTTTTTATCCTAATTAGCTAGATAATGAGTTGTATTTTCCCTATTAGGAGAGCTCTTTTGCTGAATCCTCATACTGTTAAGTTCTAAGAGACAGCCTAAGGCTCTTGACTCACACTGATGGTAATGCAGAAGGTGGATATAGTTTCCACTCATATTTTGCAGAGACCTAATTGTGTTTCTGTTGTTGTTGTGGTAGAAGCCAGGTCAGAATGCTATTTATTCACAGATAGGAGAATTGCTGAGAGAATATTTGAAGACATGACTGAAATGTTTCACAGAGATACAGAAGATTACTTTCAGAGAGCCAGAGCTCACAAAAAGAACTCTGATTTAAAGCTGCTCCATAGGGGTTGTGAGCAATTTAGCATAGGAGAAAAGCCTCAGATGTTGTGCATGTAAAATACCACACCACTGCATGGTATAAAATGACAGCTGTCCTCTGCTCCTTTGGTATCAGACAGGGCTGTAACTTCCTTATAATTAACCAAAACAGGAGATCAGTTATCACATTTTCCTAGATATCACCTGGAAAGAAGCAGCTGGGAGTATCTCCCCATTTGACATAGGATGCACAGCCTCTTTTCCTGTGTTCTCCAAATTCAGTGATGCTCAAGGTGTGTGTGGAAGGTGTCCCCTTCAGTGCTCTTGCTCACTGAGGCAGAAACTACCTGCATGTCCCCACAACATTGAGAGGGTGCTTTTTGTCTTCTAATTGTCACAAAGGTACTTGAAGGAAATTAACACAGCTCTGACCTTCATTAATTGCTCACTTGATTATGTTTCTCAGTCACACTCTGTAGCTCTCCATCGGCCAAGGACACAGAACACACTGCTAATGTCTGTCCTCCTTCTCTCCCTCCCTCTTCTCCAGACTCTGCACAGCATCGCCCTCCCAAAATTATCCAAAGAAATGTTGCATCACCCTGGCAGGAGGAAAGTGCATGAGCCCTTGATGACTTTCTGAGGTCCCTTACAGCCTGTGTTATTCTGGCTCTTCAACATCTTTCATGCTTGAATGTGCAGATTTCCACAGCAGCTGGATTTCCTAGAACATGCAGTTCCAGCTAAATGCATCTAGCTGGAAATGCAAACACAGACAAAACAATTTCTATGAACAGATATTATCAGATGTAACTTGACAGGTAACATTCATTACAATTCACATTATATATTGAAATCTGTGAATGTATACATTTGTGTTCAACTATATACAGCCTGTGAAACTGAGTTTGCAAAGAGAGACAGCCTCTCTTTAGAAGGAATTGAATTCTTCTTCTGTCATTGGGTGGAATAATGCATAATTCAAATTTTTGGAGATATTACTTGGTATCACTTGAGCATAATGGTGAGGCTGATAAGTTCACTCTGAACAATGACTCAGAAATGGGAAAGGTTTCAGCCTAATAGCCATCCATTGACTGTCAAAGTCAAACCTATGGAACTGCACACATTTTAGAGAGCATGTAAGTCCCAAAAAAGCAAACTCTTGGGAAATATAATCTGCTGTGGGACTACTAGACCTCTTTCTTGCACTGTCTAAACAAGACTGAAGCTTAAATGAGTGTGTATTTGAACCTCCATATCAGTTTAGATCGTTAACTCCTTTTGATGATTTTATGGAGAAGGCTAAATATTTCACTGAACTCAGTACTAAAATTCAAACAATGCAATCATATGTAATTAGGTATTTTCTAAGCAATATTATACCACTTCACACAGTGAAGACTGCTAGAACAAATAATAACTCAGTTTCAGTTCAAAAAAGGGATAAAATATGTTCTTGCCCTACTAAGTTTCTCACGAAGAAGCTGAATACATAATAGTTCACATCTACCGAAAAAGTATCGTTTTCTCTTTATCTGCCTTGGGTCATGCTGGCAATACTTTGGAGCCCTTTGTATTTCTTAACAGCAATGTGGATTTACTGCCACTAGGTGTTACCCTTCCTCCATTTGTGGAGAAAACTGTGCTCCCTGAATAAACCTGGTTCATCCGTGGGTGCACCGCCCAAAATGCAAAACAGGGGCCCATCGCGATGGAAGCATCTTTATAAACATGGAAACAACAAAAGCCTCCCCCGCACAACCCCCCACAAACAAACAAAAGTCACAAAAGCCCCCCCAATCCACTAAATGCCCCCAAACAAACGTAAACGTCTCAAAATATTAAAAGAAGAAAAACTTGTATCCTGACAGGTTAAGACAGTGTCCCTGTAGCTAGTTCTGGTCAGCAGCTAATAGCAAACGCTGAAATGTGACTGTCTTACCTGTAAGAGCTACTGCCCCGAAATGTCCCAACACTGCACAGTCAGAGATATTCAACTCCATGTTTATTGTCATAAAGCCTTGCCTGTTCACTAGACCATATTTCATATTTACCAGCCTTTATGGGGGCTGTATGCCTTACAGGAGGCATTCTGTGGCAGCCTTTAATGTTTCATGTACCAATATTTTGCTGTCTCCCACACAAAATAAGAATAAACCACTACGACTGTGTTACGCAACCCAGTGACTGACACATAAGTAAAAAATTGTTGATATATTTACCCATTGTAATACCCACAGACGAAGGCCAATCCTCCTCACTGAGACAAACGTTGCCAAATGAAAAGAGATGGGGAAATGGAGAAGAAATTAGATGAACATATTGTGAAAAGAGGAAAAATTTGTTGACAAAAGAAGTCACAATAACCAAAGCCTCCCAGCCAGGCAAGGCATAAAGCAGCAGTGAGATGCCCGCAGAATATAATTTCTCTGAAGAGACGTAGCTTCAAAACAGTTATTTCAGTGCTGGGCATGTTTTTAAGCCCAGAAAATGACATCTATCTCAGAGACAAACACTGCAAGCTGGGTCTTTGCCCAGGACTGTTGAACAGGCTGTATGAACAGTGTCTTGAGAAGGCTCCTTGCTCCCTTTTAGAAGGGGAGTCTGGAGTCAGCTTCACATTGACAGAGAGAACAGGCGGGGGATGGACTGGTTTGTGCCCTTAAAAAGAAGCCTGGGACAGTGGGCCAAACACCTTATTGTGCCAGCTGTGCTCCTCGCCACCCCTTTGATGTGCATGGCTTTGGACAGCCCAGGGCGCTGCACAGGAACAGGTGGGTCCTTGTCAGCTGATCTCCCATGGGACAGAGGCAGGCAGAGGAGCTCAGAGGAGCCAGTGCCTGCAGGAGCAGCATAACTTACTCATCTCTGAAGCTTCTGAAAATATGCACTGGAAGAATCCATTAAGCTCAGGTCTTATGATGTCTGAAGTCAAATCTAACAAAGCTCAAGACAAACAAAGTCAGGTCTAATGAATATGTTAGTGTTGTTTTATTTTTTTTCCTTAACCTGCATTGATACTCGTCTAATGCCAGAAAAATGAAATAATTTTAATTAACAGATGAATTAAAGATCCCATTTTTTTAATATGGGTTAAGACTCACCTGCTGGTAGGTACAAAATCTTCCACTGCAAGTTCTGCTATGAATAAGCGCCTGCTCAAGCATTATATGATCTCATCCTCTGGGTGCACAGTTTAATCACAGTGCTCTCAATAGAGAGCCCACACTAGGGAAGTGGAGTTTAAAATACGAATCTGTGGGAGGCTCTTGAGGTGGCTTCTTGCTAAGTACGGCCGGGAGCAGGGTGATGTGGGGGGAGATGCCACATTAAGAGACCAAGAGGTAAAAGCAACTCCATAAAACTGTCACCAGCAAACCACCACGTGAAAATTTCATGTGCTTTTACTCTGGTGAATTGACCCTGAAATAGTATACAGGAAGAAAACAAAAATTCTGTGTGTGGCAGTACATGTCATGTTATTTCCCCCCCTTTTTTTTTCTCCAGCAACAAACTCAGGTGTTTAAATGGGTAGCAAAACCATGTAATTCAAGATTATTTCATTTCCTCCCTCATCTTTCAGAACTGTTTTAACCTCTCTTCTACTTCTCTCAAAAAAAAACCCAAACAAAAAACGAACAACCAAAACAAAAACCAAAATGAAACCAACCAACCAACCAAAAAAAAAAAAAAAAAAAGAAAAGAGAAACAAGCTCTTGTAACAAAATGTCAGCAAAGCATCAGATTAACCTACTTTGCCATTCTACTCCCACAAATGAAAATACTTGGTCAAAACCCTGGTAACTAGATTTCCAACATGGAAAAAGTAGTGGTCCACATATTTCTAACATAGTCTTGTTCAGATGAAACTCCTGTAAATTCTGAGTGTCCACTCCCCCCAGACCACAGTATCTCCCTGTCAGGTCTCCCTTTACACATTATTCTTTTTTACCATTCCCTTTTCAAAACTTCTGTTTCTCAACTTCCCCTCTTCTTTCTCTTCTTCTCTTGAGCAAACTTATCTTGCTTCTCAAGAACTAACTTGCCTTTCCTTCCTTTCCCACTTCTCAATTTTTGAAGGGCTTCTAGCCCCTGCCTCTGCATCTTTTGATTTCTACTTCATCGACGGCTGCAGAGGGGCACTTGCAGCAGGGCAGTCCGGAGAGGGCTTCGTCCCCCCCTACGAAAGAGAGCACTGACATTGTCTTCACCCTCATCGGGCATTCCTGTCCTCCGAGCTGCTCTCCCGAGGAAGGAAGCACACGTGAACTCCCACTGGAGAGCAGCTGAATGCACCGAGGCAGCAGCTCTTTACCGCTGCTTGCAGAGAGACACCGAGGCGCAGATTAAATTCAAGCAAAAACCTGAAACAAATGCTTTCTACCAACGCATGTTAAATAGGTGCTTATGTTTCACGCAGATCCCGATGTACCTAATTAATCCTAATTAAATCTGAGCTGAAAGGGCACCTAAATACACAAATATGCACGCAGACACGAGGAGCTCGGCTCTCACAGTGAAGCGCCGCTTGTCAGGCAGCTGGAGGGGACCCCATCGGCGCCGAGGTGTCCCTCGCCACCAGGGTCCTCCCCCGGCCGCCGGGGCATCCCTTGGACGGCGCTCCCGGCGCCTCCCGACGGTGCGATCCGCGCGTCTCCGTCCGGGAATGAGGATCGGGGGGGTTTTACGGAGACCTTCATGGGGGTGTCTCGCAAGCCCGGAACAGGCCGGGGAGCCGCGGGAGGAGAGAGCGGGCAGCACCGCAGGCTCGCGTTTTCTCCTGCGAAGGCGACAGGAGGGAGGGGACACGGTTATCTTGCCGGAGTTCTCATTTGGAGAGGGTTGGGCAAGCCTTAGGAGGATTAGCAGGGGTGCACAGCGCCTTCGGCAGAGCAGCAGCGCCCCGCCGCTTGCCTGCTCCTGCACTTCGGGGCAAACAGGGGGCTCGTCTTGCCTGCGGAAAATGAGACGTCTCGGAGAAGCCGAGGAGCGAGCCGGAGCCTCGCTCAGGGGGACAGGGGAGGCAGGAGAGAGGCGGGACCCCCAAGGTTTTATCCCTGCCGGACAGGCACCGCTGTGCTCGCCCACGGCGACGGGAGCCCGGGCGGGGAGAGGCTCCCCGAGCAACCGGGGAAGGAGGACCGGGAAAGGAGGGGGGGAACGGGGGACGGACGACGACGGGGGACCCTGCGTCAGTGCAGGGCCGTCCCCTTCTCCTCCCCGTGCGCTCGGCTCTGCCTCCCGCCAGCCTCCCACGCCTCCCGCGAGGTGCGGCCGCGCTACATAAACACGGCCGTGCCGCCGGTGCCGGGGCTCTCCGTTCGCAGCCCGACGGAGGAGTTTGTCCGGCAGCGGGCAGAGGCGCGGCCGCGGGGAGCGCAGCGGCAGCGCGGCTCCGGCGCCAGACGGGGCGGGAGGCTGCGGCGGGCAGCAGCGGAGGGCTGCGCGCTCCCCCGAGGGCGGCGGCCCTGCCGTAGCCCAGGCGGCCGGAGGAAGAGGAGGAAGGGCGTGGGCTCCGGCGGGCTCGCTCCGGTATGGCCCTGGCGGACAGCGCCCGCGGGCTGCCCAACGGCGGCGGCGTGTCGCCCGCGGCGGGGAGCGGGGCGCCGGGCAGCGGGGCGGCCGCGGCGGCGACGGGCGGCTGGGCTTCCTTCCCGGAGATCGTGGAGCTGAACGTGGGCGGGCAGGTGTACGTGACGCGGCGCTGCACCGTGGTCTCGGTGCGCGACTCGCTGCTCTGGCGCATGTTCTCGCAGCAGCAGCCCAGCGAGCTGCCCCGGGACAGCAAGGGTCGCTTCTTCCTCGACCGCGACGGCTTCCTCTTCCGCTACATCCTGGACTACCTGCGGGACCTGCAGCTTGTGCTGCCCGAGCACTTCCCCGAGCGCAGCCGCCTCCAGCGGGAGGCTGAGTACTTCCAGCTGCCCGACCTGGCTCGGCGCCTGGCGCAGACTCGGGCGGTCGCCGCCCGCCCCGCCGTCCTGCACCGCGACGGCTCCATCTGCGCCGAGGAGCCGCCGCCGCCGCTGCTCGGGTACCTGGAGGCCGAGCCGCTGGAAGGCGGCGGCGGGGCCGTGGCGTCCGCCCCATCGCCTACGGCCAGCCGCAGCCCCTCGGGCGGGCCGCTGCTCACGCCCTCGCAGTCGCTGGACGGGGCGGGCGGGCGGCGCTCGGGCTACATCACCATCGGCTACCGGGGCTCCTACACCATCGGGCGGGAGGCGCAGGCCGATGCCAAATTCCGGCGGGTGGCCCGCATCACCGTCTGCGGCAAGACGGCCCTGGCCAAAGAGGTCTTCGGGGAGACCTTGAACGAGAGCCGCGACCCCGACCGCCCTCCCGAGCGCTACACCGCCCGCTACTACCTCAAGTTCAACTTCCTCGAGCAAGCCTTCGACCGGCTCTCCGAGGCCGGCTTCCGCATGGCCGCCTGCTCCTCCACCGGCACCTGCGCCTTCGCTCCCGAGCAGGGCGGCCCCGCCGATGACAAGATCTGGACCAGCTACACCGAGTACGTTTTCTGCCGGGACTGAGCGTCCGGGGACGAGACAGCCGGCCCTGCACACCCTCGCACCTACGGTCCCCTCGCGTCCCGAAGGAAGGAGGATGTGAAGCGGGGCTGTGTCTCCCTGTGCTTGTCTCACCCCGGTTTCTGCCTCCACGCACAAGCCCCGGCGCAGCCCCCAGCCCTCTTGCAGCACCTCCTGACGGCCCCGGGGCAGGAGGTCACCGTGTTGTGCCTCGGCTGTCGTGTCCCTGCTTGGCCATGTCCTGGCTCCCACCTTCACCCTCCCTCCTGCATCTCCCAGTAGCTGTGTTGGTAGCAAGGGAGGAGAGAAATATTGGGAGTAGCCAAATGCCACAAAAGCATGCATGTGCACCCAGTCTTTGTCCCTCTCCCCACACAGAGCTGAGGTATAGCTCTGGCAGGGTGGGGTGTTTTAAAAATCATCCAGGCAGGGGCTGAGAAGATTTGAAGTTGCTTTGAGCAACTTCTGTTGAAGGTGGCATGACAAATGCCTGTCTTTTCCCATCCCAATACCCTTGTGAGAGAGCTTGCCTTGGTGGGCAGACCCCAAATTGTCCATTTTTAACTCCTCCCTTCCCCACCCATCAAAGCGATGCCTGTCTGTGAGGGACTGTCACATAGAAAGGAAGCCTGACTGTGAGGGGTTTGCACTGGCTCATACTTTATCTGTTGAGATGAGTAATTTTGCAGGAGGCGTGCATGTGGCCCTTCACAAGTGGTTGCTCCCATCTCCCCTCTTTGCTCCCCATGTCTCTGATCTCCTCTCTGTTAAGCTGGACCAGGTCCTGCACAGCGAGCACGTAAGGCTGATGTGGAACGACAGATTTGCTGGATAACCAACCATTTGAACTATGAAGTGTCCCCAGAGACATGTGTTTATTCCCTCGAGAGGTAAAACAAAGACACTTTGAAAAATTAAAGTGCTTGTGAATTGTAACTTCCATGGGTGGTCTGAAGTCCTTATAATTCTCTTGAAGTTACTGTCTCTAATATGGACAGAAATCTCCATGTGTATTTCCTTAAACACCCTCAAAATGATGGGAGTGAGGTGAAGCCAGGCTTGCCTGAGTAAAGGAAGGGCCTGGGTCCTGGGAAGCTGAAATCATGTACATTGAATTAGTGCAAGATGTACATTATAACTGTCATCAAGAGCACCCTTGTTACTTTTTGTCGTGTTCCTGCGGTAAAACTCTGAAGCCAGCAGATGACAAAAATCACAGTTTTAAAGAGCCATTTCCTTAGTTTTCATAGCAGTATTTTCTGGGCACTGACACTGTACCTCTTCCTCGACAAACTTAGTGCTTCTTAGAAAGGCTTGAGCCCTCTCCTTAGAAAAACAAGGATGATGCCAACTTTCTTCAGGGGAAATTACTTCTGAGCTGTATTTTGTTACTGCTGAGTAACAGTCTTTCCCAGAGGAGGCAGTCAGAGTCTGCATTGGAACAGATGATCTGAACCGCAGGTTCTACAGAGATTCAGCAGTTCTTCTAATAAATTTTTTGAAGTCTGGAGTATAAAAGCACTTCCCTTTAAAAACCTAAACTTGATTTAAGAATGTGTATAGGCTGTTCAGACAGAAAAATATCCTAAATATACCTGAAGTGTTGAAGAATTTAGCAGTACATATTAAAGGCTTGAAGTTATGTTTTTAAAACTCTTGAACAATAATGCTAGTTCTAGGTCTAACTCCAAATTTAGAAATACTGCTAGCACCTGTATTCTAACCAAAGAATTTCACAGTAGGGCTTTTTTAAAAAAACCCAAATTCCTTTGGAAACAGCTATAAGCTACATTTCTATCGAGTTTCAGTGCTCAGTCTCTGTTCACTTGGTCTTTCATTAAGTGCATGCACAGCTACATAAAACTGAAAATAATTTGCATCACCATGGCTTATTTTTTCTGATATTAGCAAGGTTGTATATCAACATGATTGAAGATGTGCATATGAAAGCACTGGATACTGTCCATTTGTAGATAGTTGTATTATGGAGTATTTTTAAAAGGATGGAAATGTAAACCTGCCAAACTAGATGAGCAATAAGATACAGTGAGAGGCCAATACACCTGAGGATGGAATGAAGTCTGTTTGTCCTATGCCTTACTCTGAGATGACTTCTTTGTGGTGAACTTTCACCACAAGTGAAAAGACATTGGTCACCACAGCTACTAGGTCTTTACAGTGCCCTTCTCAAGAGTAATGACCGTCTTTTTCTAGTTTCTGTTAAGTAACTCTGAAGTATGTTTTTTAAGATTTTGTATAAAATCAGTTTTCAGTAAAGTGTTCAAATTTGCTCTAGATAGCTTTCTTTTTTTAAGAATCTGCTAGCTTACTAAATCCATCATAGGAGCTATGTATAGGGGCAGTTTTAAATTGACCTTGTGATTTAGTGTACATATATATACAGTATATAAACATTTTACACTAATCATTTAGTTTTTTTAACAATTTTACTGCTACAGGATTTCATAATGTATCTAGCTGAGCATTTTCACATTATGTTATGTACATAACATGGTAATGTTTTACTGGTTTCTCATACCTGTTTCAATGGAAAAAACTGAATATGAGTATCATCACCTTGTAGAACTGAAATTGATGACATATTTGCTTGAATGTGAATCTTCTAGGTGGCTGAATGCATCTCTAACAAAGATTGCCTGTCTTTTGATTAATTGTCGCCTATCCCTTTCCTGGCAGACGACCCAGTAATTCTCACTTTTACATAAAAATGGATGTAATATGAACAGGATTTTTTTCTAGTCTTTGTGCTAAAAAAATTTAAGTGTTATTAGTGTTAAGAAATGGGCCTTTAATTTACTGATAACTCATTATCAGTATCGTCAGCAGGCTTAAAATGATGGTGCCATAAATATAACAGTCACTTGATGCTTTGCCACAGAAGATGACACTTTTCTGAACCATTACTTAGTAACGGCAGTAAACCTTTTAAAAGGAAAAATGCTCAAGGCAAATTCAATGAGTTTTACTTGTCTGTTCTATTGAGAGCTTGAAGAATGGATAAACACAACGACTCTGCTGACTTGTTGACATGAAAACATACAAAAATATAAAGGCACAATACTGGAGTCCTGTCTACGTTTTGTAGCTGTTGCTGTTCGCAGTTCATGTACTTATGGATGAATGCAGTAGCATTTACAAGTGCTATTAAAAAATCCACAAGGGCAGTCTTTCTTTTAATTAGAAGTTAAGGCATAGGTCTTTTCAGTGATGCATATCATGAAGGGTGATTTTGCATATGTTTGATAGGATGTTTATATTTTTATACATGTAGATAATGAGCCACTTATTCATTCTTATTTTCACATGTATAGCATTGAAAATAAAGATCCTCCTAGGACAAAGTTGCATACCAAATTAAATTTTTGTTCTTTAAATATTAACTCCGTTGTGTGGTTTATGATGTTCTTTTTATTCTCTGTGCAGATATTGTTAGCTTTGTTCTCCCACAGTATCATATTCATAACTTCAGCAAAGACTCCAAACTAAAAAAGCAGAAAAACAAAGAAAATTATGTATACAGAGACCTCTAGTAACACCCATGGCAAGATAAACAGAAATGCATAGTACTCAGACTGCATCATTTCCTTTTAAGCATCACAGAGAATTTTTACAGTACTGGTCAGCCAATCCTCAGGAAGAAATAGTGATTGAACAGCTTAATTTGGATAGCACTGAGGAATTGTTGAAGTCAAATGTTGATGTTTTTTATGAAGCTAGAGAATAATAACATGCGATACAGTGCTCATTTAATGAAAGAAACAATAATACCTAAGGTAATACATGATCTGAGAGAATTGCATCTAGAATTTTTAATTAGCTACCCTGTGGTATCTAGCAAACTCTTCTAAACTTGTGGTCAGCTTCATAGAAAATTAGTAGTGACTTGTTAGTATAATCCACATGTGAAGTGCCTGTACATTTAATAGTTCTTTCTTGGGTATCATGGTTATACTACAAAGGAACAGCTGAAGGAAGTTTAATCAACTGTTTAATTTGACAGCTTGATAGTATTTGAGTGCTTTGTTATCATGCGATAATGTAAGAAAGGAGGTCATTCTATGAGCAACAAAACTTTGCGTCTGAAGGCATCATTTTCTTTGTCCTACTCCTGCTCATCCCTGCCAATTTTGTTCAATTTCTACTTGAAAAAGGAGGCACATTCCTTGACAGAGCCACCTTCTGCTAGGCTGAAGGTTATGGCTGAATTTTGGCTTTGTCTCCCCTGTGAACTACAGATTTTCTCTTTCCTTTCCCTTACCCCACCATCAGTATTCATAGAATTTGTAAGAATGTAACAGCTGTGAGGTTTTTCAGTTCTTTTGATTGTGTTTAAATTGCCCATCACCTCAGAAGTTAAGCGGGACAGATATCCACCCAAATGGACAATGCAAATACCATGAACCTTATTTCAGAAGGAAACAAGGCTGACAGAATAGTGTGGTTTATACCTGCCACTGTGTATATAGTCTGAGTGTACTAAATGCCTAAATCCCTATAGAGTGTGAAGGTGGGCGGTCACTCTTACTTTTGCAGCTCTGGCCAGTCAGTCAAACTAATGGGTATGCTAGAATGTGTTAAAAATACTTACAGACTCCTAATTTCTGCGGCATTTCCAAGGCTGAATCAAATGTGAGCAGGAAAACATTTTCTGAAGATTTTATTTGCCTCAGGGCAGGGTTGTTTTTTGTTCTTTTTTTTTTGTAAGAACCCTTCAGTATAGTTTTCAATGAAATATTCGTGCTAATGTGTTATTTATTTAGAAAGTACTTAGCTTTATGAAACCGAATGCTAATTTTGTTTTTCATTAAAATGAGCGGCATGTGTTTTTCCCCTGCTGCTAAACAAAACTCCTGTGTATGTCTGCTGAAGTAGTAATGCCACCATTGCAAATAGTCTGTTGGAAATACGCAGCACAACTGCTGTGACAGTCAAAACCATAGCTGGTCAAATTATCACATTTCTTCACATTTTACTCTCCACTGTGCTCAAACTGGAATAAAATTAAGCTCTGTTACACGTTTCTTGCTTTGCAAGTTTTTTAACACACACTATGGAGCTTTTGATACTTCTGTCAAAGTTGTGGGCAACTGTGAGTCAGGGATTTGAAGTAGGTCTGTTTATTTGTGAGGAAATAAAGGCTAGGAAATATTCTTGCACAAAGTGGGAGCAGCTTCAAGTAATTTGGGAAAAATTCTTGGTATCACAGGAAATAAAAGATATTTTTCTGTATAATCAAAGTAATACACACACATTACACCCATCATGCAAACTCAACCTGCCCTGGAAAGCTAAAGTCCTTGATGACATTTACTTGTTCTAGGTTTTATTTTGTATCATCTGGATGAAGGAAATTATTTTGTTTTTCTCCTTCAAAAAAGCTCAGTGTTTAGCAGCTGGGAAGTGACAATGTTAGTGGTACACCTTGCTTTGAGTTAACATTTCAGCATCCTTTTTGTTTCAACATAATGCAAAAGGTAGAGAAGTTCACATGGAAGAATATAGGAATCACAGAATCATGGAGTCACTAGGATTAGAATGCTTAGCTCCATGTAGCCTCTGACTTACCATTTGCAACTTAACAATTTTCTCAACCTGGAACTTAAGTAAGTGCGGATTCATTGAAGTTCAGCCAAAGAAACTGAGACCAGAATATTTAGATTGTGATGATGAAAACAGGTCCATTGATAAAGACCATGTGATCTATGTTTTTAATTTGTAATTTTGAGGTAAAGACAGAGCCTTGGTTAATTTATTAAGGAGCAGGCTGTTATTAAAAACAAAATAAAATTAGGGAAAAATCCTCCAATCCTCTTCCACATTCTTGAGGAGGGAATGCAGTGCTGGTGTGATGAAAACAACCTTTTTGATTTCAGAGATAACTGAAATAACCCACAATGTTGCCATCTCAATTCTGTCTGTTTTTCTGGTCTTGGCTGAACTTTAATGTCACACCCACCCTTAATAAGCGGTCCTTTAGAAAAGCATATATTCATAACTATGAAAACTTCCATTAATTTGGATATAGTTTGGTTTTGACTCATATTTTCCAAATAGCTTAGTGACAATCTTTGTCGTCATATTACAGCAAAGCCTGTGATTATTAGAAGCCTGAAGTTAGTTTTTCCCTTTAAAAGGGCAGAGATTGTACAAAGAATGACTCTTTTTTTTTTTTGAAAGGATACAAATGGTGCACTTTCCCCTCCAAATCTGTAGTCTCGTACAAACCCTTCTAATTTTCCCCACCTTATAAAATTCATTTCCACATCTTTCTATGGCTGAGAGCTCAAGGCATGAATATTTCTGAAAGCTGCAAGCACCAGGAGGTCTTGCAGTGATTCCCAGTTGTTCCATAGCAATCCCTTTCTGCTGTGATCCCTTGTGCAGTCAGAACAAGCTGGGTGGGCAGCTGAGCCCCAGGATTACCCAGTGGTCCTGACCACAGCTTCTGCCTGTGCCTCACTTCCTTCCTAGCCACGACCAAGGTAGCACAGCAGTCCCTGAGCCAGCACAGTCCTGCTGCTGGTGCCTTGTGTGAATAAAGGGGCAGCATTTGTATTCTGGTGCACTCCATGCAGCCCAACTGCCACGAACTGGCACTTCTTCTCCAGGAGATTTCTGACCCACTTATTTCCAGGGTTTGCTTTCACAGTCTGCACCACTTTATCTGCCGTCTCAAGGTATGGTTGGAATATGGGAAAGGTTCAGCTGTTTACAGTAGTCTGTCTAATAGCTTATCTGGCATGGCACTAAAGGGACAATGAGGACAATTCACCTAAAAAGAGTTTTATAGTTCTTTAAAATTTTATGGCCTAAATAAACCATGGAAAGTGCTGCCTAAACTATAATAACACTGGGTAAAGGCACCTTTTCTGTTTAAGATGAGAATGCTAACTTAATCAGTTTAGCTGGAGCACTAGTATATTTATCCTCTTGGACTTGTTTGTATCATTCTAGAGGTTGAAGAGCACTCACCTGCAGGTAACTGGGCCAAACAGTCCAATTTCTTTAGAAAATGCTAGGTTAAAGTATATGTATACAAATGCACCAGTGTTTCTTTTTGTAGAAGAGAAGTTTCAGCTTGACAATTATCAGATTGGATGTTTTCCAACACATCACCTTCTAGGGTTTGATGACAGAAAGAAATGTCCAGATCATTTTGTCGGATCTCAAGATCTCAGTCCTGAGTTGCTGAGCCACCGAGACCCCTTGGGGGGCTCGGGAGTCCTGGAATGTTGCCAGAAGTGTCTGGTAGCTGGACTTTAACCCTACACAGGAGACGACAAGGATGAGGGCTTCACCGGGGTGAATGGTGAAGGGATTAGTTAATTAGAGAGTGAGAAACAGGGTTTAGGATTTATGTACAGGGGGGTTTAGAGGAGTAAGATGGAGGAATTGGGGTGTGTCCTGCCCTCCTTCTTCTTCCTCCTCTCCTCCATCTTCTTTGGCCACGGCGGCACCTTTGGATTGGTTAATACTAAGAGTACACCGAGTTATAACAATAGATAGTATTGGGGAAAAATGATAAATATTGTATACGTCACAATGGGTATAAAGATACGTGGCTGCCCGGGAGGGCAGAGACAGTGTGCCCATGGCTGACTGCTGAGCAGATCTCTGGTGGCTGAAAGAACATCTTTTAGATAAACAATTAATAAACATAAAACCAGAAAGAAGAACTGAAGCCTCTTCTCGTCCTTCAACACGCGGGCTGCCCCAAGGCCACCCCCGGGCCTTCCAGGCCCCTCAAACAGCCGAGATAAACCGGACACTTGGCGTTCCCTGGGCGGGCAAGAATCATCACAACCTTTCGGGGAGATAAACCGGACATCATTTGGTCTGCCATTCAACATAGCATACACTGTAGGGCTGCCCCTAGCAGAGTCTTTCAGTCAGGCAGTGAAATTTCTCGGGCTGTCATCTAACTTCATGGATGATACTGCTTGTGCACAAGAAGACATCACAGTGCCTGGTTAATTGTTAGGCTGTGAATGCCACCAGCTTTGGCTTTCTCCCAGAAGGGTCAGCAATGTTTTCTTCATTGACATGCTGAGGCTGTAGTGAGTGTTCTGCAGGAGGGTATGTACAGAAGTAGCTCCCCTGATCAACACCTGGGGATGAACTGTCCTGTGGTGTCCTTTGGTTCCCCGCCGCTTGTCCCTGTAACCAGTTTCTCGTTGGCACTGCTGATGTGGCCGTGGAGTGGACCAGTTCAGGGAGCTGGTGTAGATGAAACCTTAGAACAAGGAAACAGGAGAAAGCAGGCTTATTTTCAGCTGGATCAGCTCCCAGAATGGGCTCACAGCAAAATGGGGTTATTAGTATTGGGCAAAAGAGCCTGATATCTAAACAGAATGAGCTCCTGTGGTCTGTCAGTAAGGCATGTTTTTCACTCCTTTAGTCATCTCCTGTCTCTTCTCTAAATCCTGTTAAATTTATCAATGTCTTTTGAACTTCTCATTTCAGGTGCTTCTCGTTCTAATAAGGGAATTCACAAAAAAATGTAACATTGTCCTAGCCTCTGTTTTTTTCCATTCATTTCTTCAGGGTTTGAATTAGAAGAATTAGGGGTTTAAGTGTGTCTGGAGTTTATATCCAGTAAACAATGACTGCAAGCACCTGTATTATGTCTCCAGAATTCTATCCCAATTATCAGTCAAAATGCATGGGAGTGCCTGAGACATTTGCTTATTAAACATTATGCCAGAATTTAACTTGAAACAACCAAGGAACAAAGCCCAGTAAAAGTGGATCTATTTCCTCCACATCAGCATTGATGGACATCACTGTGACACGAATGCTTGGTATCATTTTCCCTGGTTATTACATTGGATAGGTGGTTTTCCAGCCACATGAATGGATGGCTAAGCATTGACTGACAGGTTGGCAGGCCTGAAGTTTCTAAATTACCCAATTTTCTTTTAACCACAGCCCAAACAGTCCATGGGTTTTTTCCAGTCCTTTGTAGCTTCTGCAGGGATCTGAGATTTTTGAGAAAGCTGCATTAGTAAATACAGAGGCTTGTAAACATACCAGATATAAATTGGCCAGACCTGATTGAAAAAAATACTTGTTGCTCATATTTTTTTGATTAGGTTTGGAAGGGAAATTGATCATTATTCCTAACAGACCTGAACAGCAAAATGTTTATACTTCTCCTGAGGTAACGAGCCTAAAAATTCCATCTAATAATGAATCTGTACAATTTTTCACATTGTTCCAAATAAAATTAAATAATTTCATTTGTAATCATGCTGACTACTACTTTCTTTGTGTTCTTTTTTCTTACCTTATTAAGTTTATACAATGCAGTTAATACAGTATTTGCAATTTATAGTTTTGATTTATACAGATTGGTATAGCCTTCTCTTTCCATTTTAGACTTTATATCTATGAGTTTTTAATAGCAGCTATCTGGATCCTGTCCCAGGATGTACTGGATGACTGTTACCTCCTGTTGATCTCAACAAAATGTGCTGTCACTACAGGATGCTAATGAGAACTTAGACGAAAAGTATTCTCTTTTTTACTTTCAGGACTTTGCATGTGCAGTTATTTGCTGAACTTGTAACCTAGGATTTAGAAATTCAGTATTTTTAAAGGTGTCTTAATATGCAGCTAGTGTGAATTTATACCACCATGTTACTTTGTGTTTTGACTGTTTAATCTCTTACTATCTGTTGTGGTATATGTACAAAGAATATCTAGATGGATACCAGAGGACTATTGTCTAAGATTTTGGCACTCTTTCAATACATTTAAAAGTTACTTCTTCATTAAATACTGTTATTCCTAAACTCCATTTACAGAGTTACCTAAGAACATTACTGATACACATTTTGGAGTATTATACACATGGCACACAGGTCATTCCTTTGTTCTGTCTTGGACTTGCACTCACTGGAGACGATATTTTCTTTTTTGTAAGGCCCTGCTTCCAGTATGTATGAACTGGTATGGAAATCAGATGGACAGCATGAAATTCAGCTATGGTAAAGGCTTGTGGCCAAGAAAGAG